GGGGGGGGGTGTGTGGGAAAGAAACTCCCTCTTTAGGGAACTTTGGGATTTTAGCCTTTGCAGACCATTTACATGCACTAAAACCTAACACACTACAGGAAAGGGGAACCCCAAGAAAGCAGAATACGGCCTCTTTAAGTTATTCCATGAAATGAAAATATAATTCTCTTTCAGCTAAGCTTTTATTTTAAACAATTGACATTTATTTTTGCAATCACAAACAAGACATTTGATGCAAACTGAATACAACATGTTGAAATGTTGATCAAAAGGGTGTCTGTCTGGGTGTGAAGTAAAAAAAATGATTACTCCAATTAAAATGTGAAGTTATCCTATCGAGTTGAGGGTCTTGTCTAATGCAGGGGAAATGGTGCTCGAATTGAAGTGTGCGTTGGAAAATGAAAGGTTTGGAAATTCACAATCATGGCAGAGGCCAGGAGCAAATGAGTGTCCAGGTGGACATCTTTGGGGGGAAAACATCGACACGGGGGGAGGGACGGGAGGTGGAGAGGGGGCAGGAGGGAGAGGGAGGGAGGAGGGATTTATACATGATATAAATTGTAAACGGTGTCGCGGGGGCCAAATCTTGCCCGAGGCGGTGACTGCTTCATTTTGTGTTAAATTTCTTGACAGAGAGCCACCCGCGTGCTGGTGAATACTGAATGGTAATCAGAGCTGGTTGAATAAGTGCCTCCCCCCCCTCTCTCTTCCATTACTGTGAATTAATTCGACTTTATTTATCCAATTTCTGGAGCTGACAGAATGTTAATTTGAGCTGAGATTTCTCTCTGCTGTTCTCCCCGTGACCCCGTAGCCCTGGGATTGGCGTGTTGTAATAACCTGAATCTTTCACCAGAAGCTCCGATAATTGTTACCTTATTAGCATGTAAATTGTTTAATTAATATTATTATGAAGAACCATATAATCCCTCCGTTACTTGACCCTGAGTCCACACATGAGCAGGCTTTCTGCATTTCAATGTCTAGTTCTTTTTAAATGGACTCTTTAATGTTGGAGCTGTTATAAACCCCTTGTTCCCCAATCTCAGAGCAACTTTGAACAGCTTGAGAGGGGCTTTTGATGTCTCCCCGTCTCTATATCTCTCTTCTGCTCTCTCCATTCCCTTTTTATTTCTTTGCTGCTCTTTCTGATGTGTATTTATATTGCCATTTTTGAACATCAAAATCCAACGCCTTCTTGTCATTTGCTCATAAAAGCTCTTTTTATTTTTATTTCAAGCCCCCCTCCTCTTTCAGTTCCCAGCCAAACACATGCAGTGCTCGATGAAAAGCAGCCCTTGACATGAGGTCCTAAGAGACCGCAGCATTTAAATTCGCTTTTCTTCCTTCCTCCTCCTTTTTCGCCAGGCACGAGTGACATTGTCAGATGTTAGCTTTAATTAATTTGATAATAAGATGGGCGACTCACACCCAAGCCAGGGTTGGGTTGCCTTGCCTCAAGCCTTACTCCCCCCTCTCATGTCTCTATGCAGACAACACATCCAAACCCACTTAACCAGAAAAAAAGACTGTGCTGAA